CCAGACCATCACTGGGTCCATCCCCTCCCGCCACTCCGCCATGGCCCGGCGTGTGCGTGCGGCTGTCGAGCATTTCGTCCGCTCGGCAGTGTACAAGGCCAGCAGCAACAGGGAGGTGGTGGGCGGGATGGCCAATGTGGGCGGCGATTTGGTGCGGGTGCCGCTGCAGTGCTTCGCCATCAATGCGGGACAGAAGGGCGGGCAGCACCGACTCCTGGGTGTGCGTGAGGTGGTCCACAGGGCCCGGCTGGACGAGGTGGCGCAGCATGGCGTGGCGGGGCTGGTCAAGGGCTTCAACGAGCACCTGGGCAATGACGACTGCCAGTTCCAGTGGCAGCAGCTGGGGTGGGTCGAGAGGGGCCGGGACGGCATAGCGACCTTCAGACCGCTGCAGCTGACGTGAGATGGGCGAGCGGGGCACGTAGCCACATGGATGGATGGATGGATGGACAGTCAGTCGGGCAGGCAGGTTTGAATGTGTGCATAACTCCATTTGTTTCGCTGCCTCACCTGGTCCTGCCTGTCGTGTGTGGGTGGACGGACAGACAAATGGGAAACAGGCAGGCCAGCAGATGGGCACACGTGTTAGTCGGTGCGAGTCACTCTCATCATGTGTTCACCCAGTGGCACTCATCCAGTCGGGCGTCACCGATATGAATGCCGTGATGGAAGCTCACCCGCTGCCTCCGTGCCTGTCTGTCTGTCTGTCTAGCTGTGAGGACGAATTCACGTGTTCGTGTTGCTGTATGTGTCTGTGTGCGGCGACTTAATGGCTGAATGACACTGCATTTGATCGATGACAGCTTCGATGGTCTCGATTGGTCGGCACGAACATAACAGACACACCCCGGAAATATCTTGAAAAAGCAAAAAAGAAAGCCCTCTCCAAACGCCCCGACTCTCATACACAGAACACCATTGTATCTGGCTGTGCAGCGCATCAGTGGAAAATCGCCGTGACCTAGTCTACAACTATTGTGCACCACAGCACAGCACAGCACAGCACAGAGAAGCGCAGTGGGCTCAACGACATGCACGCGCAGCCGAATCATGACACCTCCAGAGCACAGACACGCCCGTGGGTCTCCCCCCTCTCCCCTCCACACATGTCAGTCAGGTGTGTGGCTCGAATGCATGTTAGTAGACGGGCCCCGAGAGCTCTGTATCACATTGGTTGCGGCAGATGGGGCACAGCAGCCTCCCGCCGTCGTGCTCTTTGAGCTCCTCGAAACAACCTACCACACAAAGCCAAACACACAGACATTGATGATGGTGTGATGGTCTCTGTGGCTCCTTTCCCTCCCGCCTGCCCAACGTACCGCTGCAGAGGCACAGGTGTCTGCAGGGCATCAGGACCACCTCAAGGGGAGCGTCGTAACACACCACACACGCCGACATCATGCCCTTCTCCCCGCGCCTCTTATTGCTCTCCGCCTCCGCTTTAGCATGTTTGGCTCGCTCCTCATCCAGGTGCTTTTCCATGGCCTCGATGACGGCCGCCGTCAGCTCCTCCTGCCGGCCCAGCTGGGAAGCCGCCGTAGCCAGCTGGCTTTGCACGTCTTCCAACTCAACTCGCAGCAGCCGAAGGTCGCCATCCATCTGTTGCTCACTCAGCCACTTGACCGCCACCTCCAAAGTGCTCATGTGGCCAATGCGGCAGTCCTTCAGAGAGCGGCCGTCTTTCAGCTCAAACCAGCGGTAGGCGGGCCGCAGCAGCAGCTTGACTTGGTGGCGAGGGAGGCCCTCGTTGTGGCGGATCTTGGCTTTGACCTTCTCGATGGTGTCGGTCGGGTTGACATCGAGCACACGGTTTTTGTCTGCAGTAAGGCACACACGCAGGGGGGAGGGAGACGGTGAATGCGTCCCGTTGTGCCGCCCATGTGTGTGTTTTTGCTGACCAGAAGTGTCATAGATGTCCTTGTAGAGAATCTGCATGCTTTGCCGCAGATGAGTCGTACCCGTCCATTCTCTCTTCAGTTTCTGTTCTTTCGTTCGTTTCTTTGTCTTTTTTGAGCTCGCGCCTCCCCCCTTCGTCTTCGCCCTCTGGCTCGCTCTTTTGGGCCAGTGTATGTTGCTGCGCTGCTGCAAGACCCGAGGCACCACCCAGGAGATGGAGATCTGCATCAAGCAACAACGCCGACCATGAACCGACCGCAAACCGCGCTGATGCTGGCCCAGGCGTCATCTTGCTTTGTGCTGCAGCGGCTCTCACCCAGCTCCCGCCTCCAATACGCAGCAAGAGGCCTCCCGACACGGCACACAGCAGTCTGGGAGGTCGCTAAGGCTCTCGGCGGTCTGGGTAGGCAGGACCCCGACAATCCGCGGTTGGCCGATGAGTTCGTGTTGCAGAAGGACAAGGAGCTGGTGGGCAGCTACTGGGAGAATCTTCGGCGCCGTGGGCGATTCAACTTCTACTGTGTCTTCTCGACGTTCACCACGATGGCTCTCTGGAACTGCGGTCAGCCAAGCCACCAGCTCTCGAGAGGTTCAACGCTGCTCTCCTCTCTCTCTCTCTCTCTCTGTGTGTGTGTGTGTGTGTGTGTCTTTGCGTAGAGAACAATGTCAACAAGATGGGCAAGTACAACGGCTGGACTCTCGACAAGATGATCGGGGAGCTCGGCGACATCCGCGCCAGACGCCACTTCCGCCCCGTGGAGGACAAGGCAAAGCTGCTCGACCAAATCCACACGCAGTGCTGCACCGACGGCCGCTCATTCGCTCAGTTCTACGTAGAACTGCTGGCAGAGCTCAAGAGAGGTGGGCGGCAAACGAGCAAATCACTCTGAGGACCTCTGTGTACGTACAAATGTGTCTGCATGCGAGGCGTGCAGACCATAGTGGCGGTGGCTGCTGTGGGCCGATATGGATGGGCTTCTCTGACGGCCACCCCTTCAGGTCTGCCCTGATGGCCATCGCCGGGTACTTTGACAGGCCTGGACCGATGAAGAACACCCTGAATGGGCCACCATGGGAGAGGGAGGTCGAGAGCGCGAGACTAAAGGTGAGCGGCAGGCAGCCGTGCTGCGACAGATCCGCGAGGCCATCGACCTGCTGAAACAGCAAGAGGCAGCTTTGCAACAGCAGCAACGCCAGCACCAACTTCAAAACCAGCATCAAGAGCCCAAGTCCAACAAGACGGCGGAAGAAATAGCAGGCCAGGAGCTAGTTTCTTAAGCCTCGACAAAGGAGGCGGGCTACCTGCTGATCAAGCGCTTACTCAGCCGGCTGCTGCCTTTCGCCTTCAGCCCCTCTGTGATGACATCGCTGACGCGGGCTGACATCAGGTACAGCGAGATGCTGCGGCGGGACAACGCCGTGGCGCATCTGGGCGCTGGGGGTCATCCTGGCGGCGCTGCTGGTGCGGGTAGTTGCCCCTGGTGTGGCGACTGGGGCTGTGAGGGCATTGTTGGTCAAGCTGGCGGCTGCTGCAGAGATCGATCGCGAGAAGGAGATGTAGATTCAAGCACCGGCGTGCTCCTCTCCCTGAGAAGAGCCGGCGGCGACAGCGTGTCGAGTGGCTGAATAGGTCCGATGCTGCTGCTCTCGTGTTGGTTTCTCATGTGGTCGCGTCCGTGTGTGTGAAGTAATGTTCGCTCTTTGTCGTTCACTAATAGTGCAGACACAAACATTGCGGGCGTATGTGAGTCTGTCAGTCAGTACGTGATTCACGCAAAGGAAGCCACATGAGCTGCTCATCCCACTGAGAGCAATTCATCCAAAGTGATCGGGACTCACTGCGGCTGAGTGCTTGGCACCTGACGAGTCCTGTGAGCCCACCAGAAGGGCTCCTTCGCCCTCATCTGCCAACCGACGAGCCGATCGATGCGAGCTGGGAGAGAGGGGGAGAAGAATGAGCAATTTCGTCCTTACGAGGTCCTCTTGGTGAGCCAGTGGAGGCACAGTGAGGCCCTGCGGAGCAGACAAGTCCGTATATCCATCAGCGGCGTATCTGTCAGTGTTCGTTCACGCCGCTGCCTACTCGGCTGCTGCCCGGCGGACCATCGCGCCACGGAGCGGCTTCTCGTCCGGTGAGTGGGAAGATGCGGCGATTGGCTCACTCACAAGCACACCACGATGATCTGTTTGCTGTCTGTGTGTGTTGGTGGCCTCAAGCAGGTCTGCCTTGTCGACGGGCGGACTGGTTGATTGAGCGGCCTTGTGTACAGGTGCCCGCCGACTCCAACTCTTGATAGGCAAGCACTGATGCACACAACACAAACACCAGGTGGCCGCCCATCTCTGTGTGTGTGTGGTCCATGGTGCAGCTCTGTCTGTGTGTGAGTGATGTCTGGTCGTCCCGACACCGACATGGCCTCCGCTGGCCCGGCGGATGGTGGCGATGGCGATGAAGGTACACTCAACTCAGACAAATGATTCTATCACACACACATCACCATTGTGTGTGGATGTGTGTGTTACTTTGCAGACGATGTAGCCGTGGAGGAACAGCATGACGGCAGCGCACAACCAGACGGACCAGATCGCAATGGTGTTGATAGCGGTGAGTGACCATCATACCACACACACCAGAAGCACAGTCCGTCGGTGTGTGCCTCACTATCCTCTTTGTGCCTCTGTGCAGGTGGAGGAGTCAGCCGTGTCGGCGGGCAGCAGGGCACCAGACAGAATGGAGGTAGACGCCGACCAACCCACATACACACAAATCAGAATCGCCCGTCACTATCATTGGTCATCTAATGTGCCTCTTGTCTGTCCGTTTTGTCGGCCACAGGTCCGTCGCTACCCCGTGGGTGGAAGAGCTGCGGGAACGGCGTCGACGTCCACGTGCCTCCTGGCACCAGTGGCGCCAGCAGTCGGCTGTCCGAGGCCATTCTTCGCCGCACCATCACTGACGCACAGCATATGACCCAGCTGATTCAGCGGCAGCGAGCAGACCCCAATGTCGAGCCTGGGCTGTAGAAGGCGGGCACTATTGATACCTACATGGCCTATTCGCTGCTGTCGCTGTCCATCGACAACCTCACTGACAACAGCGTGCCGTCCATCTGGGCACCCGACGGCGGTACTGGTGACAGCGATGACGACTGTCCCGTCGCCATGCCGATGTGGCGGACGCTCGGACTCCAGCTCGCCATCATGCGCAGCCTCATCCAGACAGGGGCCGACATCAATGCGGGTGGTGTTGCTTCGCCCATCCGAGTGGCCATCGCCTCGTGCCACCGGGCCGCCTTCGATCTCCTGATGAGTCAGCCAGGTACACACCCATTCACAGCACTCACGACACGGCACACACACCATGATGTCTGAACGTCTGTCTTTCTGTCTCTCTGTCCCAGGCATCCAGCTGCAGGGCCGATGGGTGATGCAGCTGCCGCGCACATTGCCGACGGACCAGCCGACTAGGGAGAGTGAGGCCACCCTGCTGTCCTTCTACCGGCAGCTCGTCCAGCGTGACGGCAGCCTCGCAACCGAGACCGATTCGGGCACTGGCACTAGTCCGCTGCATGTGGCGGCGATCGTGCATCCCGTCTGGTCTCAGGAGTTCATCGAGAGCTACATCGACCTGCTGGTGGCCAACGGGGCCGACATCACGGCGACTGACCACATGGGAGCGACGCCATTGCACCACGCGGCGGCCCGTGGCTCGCACTGTGTCGCTGCGTCTCTCTGCCGCCGTCTCGCCGCTGCTGACGTCAACAGAGGGCTGCCGAGTGACCCGCACCCCCTCACACCCCTCGGCTTCGCTGCACGATCGCTCGGTAAGGCCATTCACCAGCTGCGAGGCGACAACACGGGGCAGGCCGTGAGGGACCGCCTCACCGTCCGGATCCCCAACGTCAAGACCACCATCCGTGTGCTGCTCCAGGCGGGCGCTGACATCGCCCCCATGCCCACAGCCACAGAGAGCGACCGCCGTTGCCGCAAGCTGGTGATTGCGGAGCGCCCGGCGGCGCCCAACGGGCTGCCCATTACCAACACAGAAGCGACGCAGGAGCTGCTGCAGAAGCTGAAGGAGCAGCGCGACAGACACAAGAGGCGGCAGGCCACACGAGAGGCCAAGGAGGCCCCCACAGCGGCCGACTTGGCGCGGCAGCAGAGGGAGGCCGACACCAAGATGGCGGCCCTCATCAGAGAGGAGGAGGCGGCCAACAAGAAGGAGGAGGCGGCTAAGGCGAAGGGTGGCAAGAAGAAGGGCAAGGGGGGCAAGGGGCAGCACAGCGCAACATCCACCATCACCCCCACCAGCAGCCCGCCGGGGGGCGAAGAAGACCAGGCGGACAGCACTGGGGCAGCCAATGACGACCAGCCAGCTTCCAATGAGGAGGACAGCGACGCTCTGCTGTTGGGGTCAGCCTTCGCTCAACGCGCTGTCGAAAGCCATAAGCAGACCAACCCCGTCAAGGCCCAGCCAGCTGCCCACACCAAAGGATCGACTCATCCCCCCTTCTCGCCCTTCCAGCCCCCCACAGCCAAGCAAAAGGCGACCCTGCGGCCCTCAGCCGACAACTCTCCATTCCAGACCCACGATCGCCCTATGCTCTCTCGCCCCAGCGATATGTCGACGGCCGACCAGACGCCGCGCGAGGAGCGGCTGATGGGACCATCGGTAGGCAGCAAGTTGGGTGGAGGCAGGGGGCTGGGCCTCCCGGCTGCCACATCATTCTTGTCGTCTCTGCCGTTCCCTTCCACTCCCCGTCTGCCGTCAGCTGAGGAGCCGCGCGAGTCGGCCAAGCGGCAATCGTTTGTGTCATCGAGTGCCTCTCACCCGGCCCCACCCCCTCCGCCCCTCGCGCCTGCACCGAAACCGGCGAGAGGTGCCGATGATGCGTTCCCGCCTCTGGCACATGCGCCACAGCAGCTGTAAGCAGACAGACACAGAGAAGGGGATCGATGGATGTGCACAATGAATGGTGCCGGTGTCTGTCGTCTCATTTTGTGTCAGTGACGACCTGCTTCCCTTATCGTCGAGTGCGCATCGTCCGTCGTGTCACCGGGGCCCTCCGCCACTCGTCAAGTACCCCAGGCCAGGCATTGACAGGCCGACAGAAGAACACCTCACGCACACACCAGTGGTCGCTTACCGTGCGTCCATCTTCTCGTGTCGTTGGGGCTCTTGTAGGCGTGTTGAGTCTGTGGCTGAGGAGGGTGTTGAGCATTATGCTGGTAGCGACGTAGAGGACGGTTGTGCTGACGGCGAAGACACAGACACACGGCAGAGGTCGGCACAGCGAGGCACACGCACAGACTTGCTCACTTCTCCCGGCTGTCATGCAGGGTGCCCGTGGCTTCTCAGTCATCTGATCGGCTCGGTAGTGCTGACAGCAAGGGCACACGTCGGCCGAACCGAAACAAGTGAGTCTTGGCCAGTGGAGGAGATGATATTCTCTCTGTTACTCATCCCAGCCGCATCCCTTGTTGGTTTGCAGGCCCTCATCTCACTCGTCAGGTGTCGCGGCCGCAGCTGCATCTGCCTCACCGCCGTCATTCGGACCGGCAGACGACACTCACTACCCAGAACAGCAAGCCCAAGACGACAGGTTCGTTGTCTGCCACAGACGTGCGGTGCATAGCCAAGCACCACGGCAGAGGTGTCCTTTCCGTGTGTGCAGGGAGGAAGACGAGCAGCATGATGCGCAGATCCAGATGGCCATTCTTGCATCACTGCACGAGGCCACTGCATCGCTGTCGTCTGGTGGCCATGCCAGTGGCACATCCGCAGCTGCAGCGGCGTCGCTCGGCCCTCTGCAAGATGCCGTGTCCAGGGCTATCTTACCCTCCTCGTCGAGTGTGGATCGTCCGTCGTGTCACCGCGGCCCTCCGCCACTCGTCAAGTGCCCCAGGTAAGGAACAGACAGGCCGACATGAGGACAGCTCACGACACATCGGTGGTGGTTATTGTTCATGCATCGTATCAGGTCGTTTGGAGCCTCGTTGAGTCAGAATGAGCCCCGTTCCTCGCAATCGTATGAGCTGAGGTGGGCACGGCAAACACGCTCAATCAACACACGCGGCACAGTCACCTCCGAATGTCCATGTCTGTGCTGTATTGTGTCAGGTCCGTGTTTGATGCCTCTCCCTCGTCCAGTAGCTACGACCATCCCAGTGCTACACCAGCAGCTCCGGCAGCCGCAGCAGCAGCAGCAGCAACACCATACGAAGAGCCACTAGGGTAGGCAGGCACACCCACACACACCACACACACAGGCGATGGGCGACTCGTCACGTCATTCGATTTGCGTATGTGTGGTCAGGCCATTGGATGATGATGAGGGTGGACAGGGCGCCTCGGCTGCTGCTGCTGGTGTAGATGATAGGTGCGTGGCACACATACACGGACATTGACGGACGGATGGAACGAATCCGATTCAGATACCTTCCCGTGTCTCTCTCTCTCTGTGTGTGTGTGTGTGTGTGTGCAGTGTGGAAGTGTCGTCGCGGGAGGCTGAGCTGCAGCGGAAGAACGATGAACTCGCCAGGCGGCTCAAAGAGACCGAGCGAAGGTACGCGGGCCCACACACATCCCATACCACACACACGGCGCATGATGCGATTGATACACACACACAGGCTTGCCCAGATGAGCATCCAGCAGCACCAGCCGTCTTCGTCCAGCAGCTTGAGTGCCCCCCTACCGCGACAGCAGCCCCCGGCAACAGCAGCCCCCGGCAGCGGCCCAGCCAGAGGGAGATGGGCGTGAGTGTGCCATCTGCCTCGACGCGCCCCCATCGGTCATGTAGATGCCCTGCAGACACCTCCGGCTGTGTCGCCAGTGCTATGACGACCGCTGCAGCAAGTTGCGGCGGGACCTCCAGCAGGTGCGGGCAGAGAATGCGCGGCGGCGTGAGGAGAATGAGGGCATCAAGAGAAAGAACGAGGGCCGCAAGAAGGAGAAGAAGATACCACTGGTGGAGCTGCTGGACGAGCCGGAGTACCTGTGTGAGCAGTGCAAGACCAAGGTGGTGTTCGCCGGGTCGCGCGATGAGGTGCGGCAGTGGGCCGATCAGCCAATCACGTGACCTTCCTACCTGCCAGCCAAGGTAGATGTGCGAGATGGCGGGAGGGAGGGAAGGGAAGCTGCGTAGCACGCTGGGGGCTATGTAGCTCTTTCATGCCGTGAGATCGATGCTATGGATGAAGTGTATGTCACCATTGCGGACCAGGAGGGGCACGTCGACCGTGCACGAGAGTTGAGCCACGCGAGCAACTGACAGACAGACAGACAGACAGGCCCGTGAGCTCGACGGTCTAGGTAGACAGCTGCACGGGGCTGTGGAGAGTGAGGGCAGCGGGGGTGTCTATAGCACTGACTCACTCACTGTATCATGGGCTTCATGTTCGTGCACAAACATTGTGTCCATATATGAGTCTGTGAGTCATGTACAGGGGCCATTCTTATGACATACAACACAGCACTCACGCACACGGAGCCAATTGTGCTGCTCTTTCCACCGAAAACAATTCATCCAAAGTGATTGGGGCTCACTGCGGCTGAATGCCTGACTTCTGACGAGCCCTGTGAGCCCACACCAGAGGGCTCCTTTGCACTCCTTTGCCCGTCCCGCAGCTGATGGATGCGAGCCTGAGAGAGGGCGAAAAGAATCGGGACGACTTTGTGTTTAAGAGATCCTCTCAGTGAGCCAGTGGAGGCGCAGTGAGGACCGGATGAGGAGACGAGTCCATCTGTCCGCCGCTCGGCCCAAGATCAGACGTTTCTCGTGGTGCCTGATCCATCAGCGTCCAACTCGAGTATATTGAGTGTCAGTGGCCCTACTGCCGGCGGATCACCTCGTCCGACAGTAAGCGGCAAGATGCGGCGATTGGCTCACTCACAAACACACCGATGAGCTGTTTGCTGTCTGTGTGTGTTGATGGTCTTCAGGTCTGCCTTGTCGACGGGCGGGCTGATTCATCGAGTGTGTCTGGGCGACTGGCCGTGGACTCATACTTTTGATAGGCAAGCACTGATGCACACAACACACACACCAGGTGCCCGCCCATCTCTGTGTGTGAGTGTTGTCCATGGTGCAGCTGTAGGTCTGTCTGTGTGATTGAAAGCGATGTCGTCTGGTCGTCCCGACACCGACATGGCCCCTGCTGGCCCGGCGGATGGTGGCGATGGCGATGAAGGTACACTCAACTCAGACAAATGCACCACATCACACACACAGCATCGTTGTGTGTGTGTGTATCACCATCTCTGCAGACGATTTAGAGCGTGCAGGGCAACATGGCGGCGGTGACGTGCGGCGGCCAGTGGACCTGGAGGAGCGCCAGGAGGGTCGTGCGGGCGGTGGAGCGGTGAGCAATGTCGTCGTGAGGCAGAGGAACAACGCCTCCATGACAGAGCCCTCTCGCATTCCATCGCCGGTACGCCAACAAACAAGAGCACCGACCGCGACAGACAGACAGACACCTTCACCCACTCTCCGGTACGTGTGTGTGTCATCGGTTGTCCCGCCGCGGCAAACGGTAGGCCATCTATCTCGAGGCAGGGGCGGTGGATGGGCCACAAGCAGCAGCATCGCCATCCAGCTATACAGGTAGTCAATGAATGCACCACAGCCAGCCTGACGCAGCACGTCATCATTGCCTGGGTCGTGTGTGTATGTGTGTGAAGGTGTAGGTGTAGGTGTTGTGAAGCGTGCCGGCTTTCCTCTGGAGCGTGAGGAGCCGAAGAGGGCCAGGGGAGAAGGCCAGGCGCACCCGCTCGCCGCCAACCTGCCAAATGCCCAGCAGCCACAGGTGATTGCATGCCTCCTCTGCCCCTCAGTCAGCACCAGAACACGATGATGGCATGGTTGTGTTGTGGATTGTGTTGTGTTGTGGATGGTGTGTGCAGCGTCCCCCCGCTCCCCATCCTGCTGCTGGTGTTGGTGTCCTTCCATCCACTGGTCTGACGCTGAGCGGCCATGCGCATCGCCCGCCGCCCCTGTCCCGCCTCGGAGGGGGCGTAAGTAGTGCTGGTGGGGATCGTGCTGTCGGTGCTGGTGTCGGTGGTGACGGATCCGATGGGCAGCAGGGCAGCGGTCAGGGCCGACAGACCGGAGGTAGGTCAGAAAATCACCCACCACCAACACACATGCCACCCTCCTCTGTGGACGCTGTCCCACCAGGTGCGCCGTTACCATCTGGCTGGAATAGCTTGGAGAGCGGCGAGATCGACGTCCGCTTCCCTCTTGGCACCAGTTACGCCAGCAGACAGCTGTCCGAATCCATCATTCGCCGCACCATCACCGACGCACAGCAGGTGACGCAGCTGATTCAGCAGAAGGGAGCCGACCTCAACGTGGAGCCACTGCTGCGGGTGGCGGGCACCACGGGTCGCTATGAAGCTTATCCGCTGGTGGCGCTGTGCATCGACAATCTCACGGACAACCGTCTGCCGTCCATCTGGGCAGGCGACGGCGGTGACTACTCTCCCGTCGCCATGCCCACGTGGGAGACGCCAGCACTCCAGCTCGCCGTCATGCGGGCTCTCATCCAGAGAGGGGCGGACATCAATGGCGGTAGCCATTTGTCTAGGCCCATCCGGGTGGCCCTCGCGTCGTGCAACCGGGCCGCCTTTGACCTGCTGATGGGCCAGCCAGGTGCACACCCATTTACACCACTCACGACACGGAACACACATCATGATGTCTGTCTGTCTTTCTGTCTGCCTGTTCCAGGCATCCAGCTGCGCGGGCGGGAGGCGGCGATGCAGGTGCGCACATTGCCGACGGACCAGCCGACTGAGGCTCACGAGGCCATCCTGCTGTCCTTCTACCGGCAGCTCATCCAGCGTGACACCACACTCGCAACCGAGCGGGACCTGGGTGGCATGAATCTGCTGCATAGTGCGGCCATGAGACCTCCCGTTTGGTCCCAGCAGTTCATCGAGAGCTACATCGACCTGCTGGTGGCCAACGGGGCCGACATCACGGCCGTGGACATATTGGGTGGACGCACGCCATTGCACTTGGCGGCACTCTGCAGCTGCGGCTCCCACCGTGTCGCTGCCTCTCTGTGTCGGCGTCTCACCGCTGCCGACATCAACAGAGGGACCCCGAATGACCCCACCTACACACCCCTCACCGTCGCTGCCGAACGGCTCGATGAGGACATCCAACAGCTGCAGGAAGGCAACACGGGGCAGGCCGTGAGGGACCGCCTCACCTTCCGGATCCCCCACGTCAAGACAACCATCCGTGTGCTGCTCCAGGCGGGCGCTGACATCGCCCTCATGCCCACAGCCACGGAGGAGGACCGCCGTCGTCGCCAGCTGGTGCTGCCCGAGTACGCGACAGTGCTCAACAATCTGCCGGATGACGTCATGGCTGCAGTGCTCAACAATCTGCCGGATGACGTCATGGCTGCCATCAACGGGCAGGCCATTCATCTCAAGGCAGGGGCGGTGAATGGGCCACAAGCAGCAGCATCGCCATCCAGCTAT